GGGGGGAGGGAAAGAGGAATAAATTATATGAAATTTAATCACCTTACTTCGTGTTGTTTACTACTCATGCACACTACTAATAAAAATATCCAACTCCCACTCATAGTTATCTGGTTTTGTCAGAGGAAGCAGCAGAAGCAGGTGTGGGGGCTATTAGCCTTCCCCTTTCTGCACCTTTGATTCTCATCCCTAAACAGTGCAGACTAATAATCATGATGCAGTTGTTTGTTTTCATTTTAGTAGTTCTCACCTGCTTCTGGCTCTCACAAATTTCCCCCTTGCACTTTTTGAAGGTCGGTCCCCACTCATTCACCCACACTACTCCCATCCTACCCCCCCCCCACTTACTCCTATTTCTAACTATAACTCCAAATGTTTTTTTCTTTTTTTAAAAATTTTGGGACCATTTGCTTTTATAACTCATCCTAATAAGTTAAACATTATAACTCATCCTTAATGCCCACGTTTTGAAAAATTATTATAATAGTTTCTTTCCCATGATTTTTGTGATGATGAATTCCACGACTATTTCTTGAATTTGGCTTAAATCTTTCTATGAGGAAACTCCATTGTCAATAAGTTCACTCCTTTCTCATGATGATTCTAAGAAGCCAGCCAGCTAAGATCAACAGACAATTATTAAAACCAATATTCCATTTTCCACCACCAGTATGACACAAAATTAGCATTAACCCCCAGGCAATGTAAAAATTTAAGAATAAAGGGAAACCTAAATAATTCAAATAAATATTCTCGTATTATTTTGATTTCCAATATATCAAAAAGCACATTAATTCTTGTCAGGGATGATATGTTTAACACAAAAGATGAACTAGCACTTGATATGTATGAGTGACAGTCACAATCAGAGTATTATTGACAGGCAATAATATACATGTACATGATACCTACATATAATAAACTGTGACTTTTTCAGTGGTATGATAATGATTGAAGACAAAAACAAAGAAGCATTACAGATTCATTTATATACATTTGCTTTCCTAACTTAAATATTCTTCTTCTTTCCCAGATACAAACTTTTGGAAGTCAGAATTTTTATTTGTAAATTCATTACTTTGAAACTGTTAAAACATAAATTATTCTGAAGGCCCTTAAAAGAGGAGAATAAGCCAAGATTTGAACGAAAGTATCTTCGTATAAATTTAAGTTTTTTGTTTTGTTTAGTTACTTAAAAAATACTATAGTGCATAATATTTTTTTGGTCTTTCAAAAACTATAGATTAGATTTTTTTTTTGCAATCATTTCTCTGTTGCAATGTCCCCCTAAAGAGTATTGAAATATTTCCCACATTCTAATTTCATGAATTTCATGTTATAGTTTAAATATGATTGAATCACTGCCACTGCTAAAGAAGTGAAAGGGGAGCATGTTTCCTCTCTTCCACCTCGTTATTAACTCCTACCCTTTTTACTCTTGGGTGATTTCCCACGTTTCTGTTTAGATGAACTCTTTGAACCACTGTTTGCGAAGCTTTTGCCATGGTGGTTATTGTTGTTGTTGTTGTTGTTATTGTTTTGGTTACTGTTGTCATTGTTCTTTTTACTGATTAAAACAATTGTGGGAGAGCTTTGTTTTCCCATACCATTGTCTTTGCTGAGCTGGCTAGTGGTCACGCAGTCCAGCTTTGGTGAACTAACCACAGCATTCTACAGTAAATTATAATGACAAAATTTAATAAATACATGAATTACCATGTCTCATTCAAATAAGCTTTTTCATCTTTCCAGTACGGAATGTTGTCTATATCAACCATTTTTCTGTCATACTTTATTCCAGCTACCATAAAAAAAGAGTTCTTGAAACCTGTGATTGCACCTAACAGCGAATTTCAAAAAAATAGACCTCTTTGCCTTGTATGTTTTGTTTACCCATTTCAGGTCAAATGAAAATACTCTACAGAGCTGTTTCTTTCAAATTTCCCCTTATTCATGAGCAAATGTGCACATAATTTATAAATGATAAAGCTGGGTATTTCCATGGGACCTGAAATGGGTAAACAAAACATACAAATTATAGAGGTCTACTGTTAGGAAAGTTGAATATCAAATTATTCATTTTTTTCTTGAGTTCAAAGTGAAAAAAGATACTTCTTGCAGGTTAAAAAAGGAACAGTCTGTGTTCTTTTAACTACTGGAACTCTACTAAAAAAATTTCAATGAATACAATGTTAAACTAATAAACACAAAATGCTACACCAAACTCTCTTTTAAGATTAACCTCTCAAGTGACATCAGAACTGAAGTAATAGTTCAGTTTTCTGGGTTAATTAAGTGTTTGATATATTTGTAGAGGAGACCCTTGCAATCCTGAACATTAACTCAAAACTGGTTGCATTGCAAACACTCTTACAGTGATAAGAAGTGAGTAAGTTTCCCCAATAAACATTACAAGCAATCAATACTGATGTTGTTTGGTAAAAATAAAAAAATTAATTTGCATGTACTCATTTCATATGAGGGTTGCAGCTTGGGCTGAGTGGATAAACAGCAGCTACCATGATCAGTCAGTGACATTTAGGAGATTCTGCTGCAACTTACATTATTATTTGATGCACAAGTCTTCTGCTCTTCAGCCTTTTTTGGAGAGCCACTACTTATAGGTCCCACAACTGCCACAGCTTTCAACTTTGAGGAAGATTCAACCACAGAGGCCTTTGCTGTAGTTCCTACTGCCTGTTTCAATGATGATGTTAAGGACTGTTTTATTGCCCCTGAATAAGAAGTCACTGGTGATGAGGAGCTAGTGCTGACAGATGAAGGTCTTGCAGTCAAAGGAGGTTTTATATGTCTTAAATTATAAGCAGTTCTTGTTTCAGTACTCATTCTGTTCTTGGCTTTATTGTCTTGTGCGAGTGAATCTGCCAATTTCCGAACAGAAGTCGCAGACCAAACTGAGTTTGCACTCACTTTCATTTCAGTTCCACTGGCAAGAGTAAAGAGGCTGTCAGCACTTGTGTGCCTGACCAAAGGCTCTTGCTCTTTAACAGTCACCATTTCGTTTGCTGACATCAAAGTAACAACATTTAACTGAGACCTTTCCAGAGGCCATGTAGCACTTTTGTTAATGACATCCAGCGATGTAATGTCTGGGGTCTCCGGTTGAACATGTCTGTTTGCTATACTGGCATATGTTGGAGGTGACTGGCTTGCTTGAGCTATAAATGGACCACTGAATGATGGCCAGTTTCTGGCAACCCAATCTCGATATTCAACAACGTCATCTGTTACCAGCACAATGCGGCTGAGATAGCCAGCTTCTTCCACTTCAGGCCTCTCAAAATTTCTGTTGACAAAAAGCACCACCAAAATTGAAAGAAAAATACTATTCAAGAAATCATGGAACCTACAAGGAGAAAAACTCAGTATTCAAAGAATACACTATTATTATTATTATTATTATTATTACTATTATTATTATTATTATTATTATTGCAGTAAATGGTTTGAATATTATTATTGCAGTAAATGGTTTGAACCCGGGGGTAACATGTGAAGGTGTAGTCTGATCGTCCGGGTGAGTGTAGTCCTGAGAAGGACTGTCGGTGGTAGTGACTGACGTTTCGACAACCTGTGCGGATGTCATCATCAGAGTCAAGTGAATGATTGTTGTCACCGACAACAGTCCTTCTCAGGACTACACTCAACCGGACAATCAGACTACACCTTCACATTATTATTATTGTTACTATTACCATCATCATGACTCCGTTATTTATAGTTTTCCAGATGCTTTGGCATTAAAAAAAAAAGGAGTAGATGTGAGCTGAAAGCAAGTTATTTTGGATCATTTTTTACGCTGTTAATATTTTGTATTGTAGAGGATTTTAAGGAAATTATTGCTAAGTAAAGATTATTATTTTTAAATTACCATCATCATTATTAATTCATTAGTGATTAGTACCATCATTGCTAAGTTCTTTCAAAACAGTTCATTGTTTTTCCTGTGAATTGAGAGCAATCCATTATTAATTTTGATTTATCTACAAAGCCATTGTCCACGTGAAACTAATAATTTCTTCTGACATGACCTTAATGAGAATAAATTGACTGCTGGTTATTGTGACTTAGAAAAAAATTGACCTTCTAAAACAAATAATAAAAAAAACTTTGATAACCTGAAACTTTTTAAGGGAATGCTGTAATCAAAATAGTCACACAACTGCTTTTAAGATGGAAATGATGAGAAAGCTGTCCTTCAAAGGACTACCCTTGACATAACTCTACTTAACCACCCAATGGGACGACACAATTCTCTTGCATCATACCTACAGACAATAGATTTTATATGTGTAGAAGAGACATCATACCTACAGATAACAGTTTTATGCACTCAGGAAGATGCATAATAAAACAAATATTGGATTTGGTTTTCCCCTGATAGCAATAATTATCAAGACCTACTCTGGCCTTGATAATTATTGCTATCATGCTCAACCTCATCCAATAACTGTTAAGTATCACTTTGAAATGGTGTTTGATGACCAGACAATTTCTTTATTTGACTGGGTAAAATGAAGAACACAACAGCATCCTTATAATGGGGTTGTTACAAAATATCAAGAGTAAAACTTAAAAATTCATTTTCCCTTGTCCGAATCCTACTTAATCCAACCATGCAAGCTTCTTGTTGATTGACTGTCAGATTTCTTTTGCATTGGAATCATTTTCCTCACAGAAAAATACCACACTTTAAGAATGATGTTTGTTAACTATTCTGTACAGATAATTACCATAAATTTATGTCACTTTGGTTACGAAGAGAGGAGCTATTTAGAAATTGTTTCTCACTAGTCTTCTGAAATAACATCTCAAGTTTATTCTCCATACTCTTTAGTTACACAGATTTTACAACTTACCGATCAGGTGAACGAGAAAGGTCTTTCAGAACCTGTTTGCTTAGAACATGATAGGCAAATTCAAATGCTTGTTTCACATCCATGAATTTATAAGAGCTCTTTCCTATGTAGTTACCTACCATGAGCAAAGAAACACCATTATATGTAACTACATTGATAAAGATCATTAATAAATGGATTGCTCCAGTTCATCAAAAGTGTCACTCACAACATCAGTCACGATACAGTGAACACAAAGTCATGACAAGAACAAAAGATGATTGTTTAAAAAGACGTAAAATCTCTTTTTTTGCATGACTCCAATTTTAGAGATGAGAATTAGCATTTAAGACAGAAGTAGTTGTTCACTGTGTGAACAAGGCTTAGTCAATAAAAACACAAGACTTTGTGCTTTTAAAAGTTAGAAATCATTGGGCAAACAGAATTAGGTGGGGGTAACACACTGAACAACTAAGGAAGTAGGTATTTAACACCTCTGTCTCTCATTCTCCGTACAGTTTGACTAGAATATATTCAGTGGTAATGGTGGGTGGTTAAACTGAGAAATTTGTTTCCTAAAGAAATAAAAAGTTGTATAAAATTCAAAATTGAAAAAAAAACTTTGCAAATCTACCAATAATAAAATTGGAATTGAGTGAGATATGAGAATGACTGTTTTTCATGGCAAAGGCAATGTTAGGAATGAATCAAGTAGTGGTTCTATGCCGCACCTGGCGTGAAGGGATCTTCAATGCACAATAATGCACATGACTGATTGAAAACATCATCCATGCTGTGCAAAACCTAAAAAAAAGAAAAGAACAACTTCACATAAGAGGTAATTCAATGATATACTGGTAAGTACTAAGACCAAAAATAATCAGGTTTACTTTACATCAGTAACTAGGCTTACACAATCAGGATACAAATGATACCAAACAGTTTGCTTAAAATATTGTAAATCTTCCATGGCTGATAGTGCAAGTGAATTCATGGGGGCACAACTTACCTCCTGCTTGCTAAAATAAGATCCACCATCTTTCACTCGGATTCCCACATTAGTGTAGTTCAAATTACGTCCATAAAGTTCGAAGAACTCAATCAGAAGAACCCCAAGATTGCTTTTCTGCGTTCTACCATCATTTCGTATGTGATTCTAAATACAATTGAAACATATGTTTTGCCCAAATTCGTAAAAACAACTCACTGATATGGTCACGAAATGCCTACTCAATCTCATCTTGAAACTACATTCAAATTTCATGTTGATTGCATCCAAGTCAATAAGAAGTGTTATTGGTTTTCAGGACAAATATCTAAAACTAGGTATCATCCAAGTTAGAAGTGCACTCTGTTCAATAAAAATAGTTAATGATTTCCTTAAAATTATATATATATATATATAAAAAAAATTGAGAGTCACAAATTAACCACTGTGATGCCTGAAGGTCTCCATTAAATTTGTTGTACTTCCAATAGGGTGCCATGAAGATGACAAAAATATTTCAAGAGTTCCCAAGCAAAAAGCTTGAGAGACTCAGGCAAAATATGACTAGTTTGCTTCAGGCAAATATATGGGTAGTTCCTGGTATCTTTTATGAAGTTAATATAAAGAGAAAGGGCTGCAAGAGACATTTCATCTTTAGAATAATTTCAAATGAAATTCCTCTCATCCAAATAGTTGTAATTACAGGTATTAAGCCTTTCTAAGTTATCTTAAGCATCCCAAATGAAAACTTTGAGCATATTTTAACCCACTGATGCAGTATCACAGTTTCTTGAGAAACTTATCCCTTTTAATGATAGCTATACTTTTGTTTAGAAGCACTCACCTGCAGAAAGCTGATTGCCATCAGAATAAGACTGTATGAACTCATACCACCTGTGAACACCTCATTCAGTTCTCGCTGCAGCAGGAACTGTTTCAAAACTAACACCAAGGGTGGCAAACAAGGAAAGATTTCTATTTGGTCCTAAAAACAAGAAAAAAGTCATTTCCAATCAAATTATCTTGTACAATGTATATTCTCCTGTTTAGCAATAGATTAACCTCTTACTAACCAAGTTCTAACTAACTGTAAGTTACGGACTGATTTTTTCTACTCTGATTTATGGTGTGTAGGCCATAAATCTGAGGGAAAAAAGCAAGGTCAGGGCTCAACACTAACTTTTCAACTTACTAGCCAAGTGGCTAGTGACATCTTACANAGTACGGCCCTCGCGCTTGGTTAATAAGATATATGTATTTTTACTCGTTATTTGTATTTTGACGCGCCCGTAGGGCACGTCAAAATACAACAACTCGTAAAAATACTCAGCGATACTACACAACCAAATGTCTAATAAGATATATTTATTTACTAGGGCTGGTGGAAATAAAAAACCACTAGCCAAAACTGAATTTCACCTAGTCTTTGGCAAGTTGGGTTGCTTCCAAATATTGAACCACTGTACAAACCAAATATTTGGAACTATCACTTTAATCTGCTTCCAGGTCATTTGAAACATGTCAATGGATGATGAGACATAAACTTTCATTGAATAAGTCCTGGTATTTGTAAAGATTGGGGGCCATGCTGTCTAATTTTACACAATATATAATTGTTTAGAAGGTAAAAACACCTTTTGTTTCCCCATTATAAGCCCAGGATCAAAATGAAATTATTTTAGGTGGAACAGATATCATTCAAAAGTTATAACCTCTAACTTGCTTTGCAGCATAAAAAAGGAATTATTTTCTTAGTTTGATCTTTTTCTCTAAGCAAATAATTCCCAAAAGCAAAACAAAAATACAATAAAGAAAAAAAAACAAAGCAAAAAAAAATGTACAAAATTTACATGAGAAAACTGTTTTAATTTCTGATAACATTAAAAAATTCATCAACATTTAAATAAAGCCTGGTTGCATAACAAACATTATCGTTTAGACAGGTGTTTGGATGACATTACCTTTACAAATTCAGCAGCCTTCAGTCCAGCTGGAACATTAAAGCTTATGTCCACTTTCACATTGGTTTTTTGATCAGTCAGTTTGATTATTGGAACCTGTGTAAAGACAAAACAGTGTTGAATTTGCATGTTTTTAATTTCCATCATGTTTATGTCTCTGTTCAATTTTATTCTCCCATCATATTTTATGTTCCTTTTTGTTGAATTATCTATTGGTCAGATCCCCAGGCCCAAGAAAAGGAATAAACAACCTTTCTTAAATAAAATGGTTAGCCATGCTTCTCTGCAGCTAAATTTAATCTTGCCATCAATAATTAAAGGTTTAAATTACAAACACGAAAACACCTAATTGATGTTTTTGCTGCCCATATTCATACATAAGTATATATATTTTTAAGGGGGTTGCATGAGTGGAAATGTTTTAAACAACCAACTATGGTTGAGAGCAAGACTAAATTTTAAGAGTTTCATACAAGCCATCTATGGACAAATAAATAAACAGGACACTTCAATACATTAAGACTGCATGCTTTGCCACTAAAGATGTCACTGGCAATACCACCTTGACAACTATAGAGTTCTTCTACGCAATACTATCATTATGATAATACTATGATCACATCCTATTTCTAAATCACTTTCAGTTCCTTTCACTCAATTTATAAAGCCAAACTTTCATCGACAAATTGCCAATCTCCTCTTTCTCATCACAAAATGTTGAGTGGTGGTTATAAACATAAGATACAACAATTGGATAGTTTATTTAGAGTGTAACTGATCTTTAACCATAATGAAAAAGCTGGTAAGATCTTCAATATTAAGTAGCAACAATTTATGATGGCAATTTTGTACAGTAGATTTTAAGGCAATCACAATATCAAAAAGGAAGAAATGACAGTTCCATATACATTTCCACATACAGTTCCTAAGGGTGACCTTCTTTTGGTCAGAGAGCCACTACATATCTGTCCTGAGCTACATAAACAATATGATTACTGGAGAAGGTAGAGGAAAGACACTTTCTACAAAAGAGTATGCTTTCAGGAATTGTTCTCAGAAAGCCTGGAGAAGCCATCAGCCATTTTCCATGAACAAACAGGGATAGAACTAATAATAAGCAGAGTATAATTTTCGGCAAAACAAAATTAGATGAAATTATACAGGAACAGACCACTATATGGAGGTTGTTATTTGAGCTCATGCACTGGGCTATATGCCAATACAAAGGTCAGAAAAATGCATCAAATAACATCAAATATCATTGAATTTCGAAAACCTTAGTAGGACCTCACCAATTCAACCTCGTGTTATTTAAAAAGAAAACTTTTTTTCAATGTAATCCATCCATGGCCTTTGGGCAATTAAAGAATACTTTGTTGAAATGGTATATTCATACCGAAACAAGATCATTGTTGTCTGATATCTGTGATGACAAAGAGCACATTTTGGTCTTCGAAGTAAACAATCCTGAATCCAGCAACCACCCCCCACAGCAATAAGAAAAACCTTAGCTATTAATTGTTCTGCATAATTAATGTTTGGGCATCCCCCATATTAACCAATGCAATCGATTAGAACGTCTTATATCAGATAGAGTTCCAAATTTGTGATTTCATAAAGGAAACTAGGGTTCTAAGAAATTTGACTTTATTTCACAACCTATTACAGGGGCTGTATTCTAGCAGCCACTTGGCTCCTAAATTTTTCAAAGCGGTCACCAATTCCAAAAAAGTTGGTCACCATTCTTAAAGACATACAAAACTTTATTGCTGTCAGTATTCTGGATAGACCCTCCAAAATTAGGTTAGAAAAAAAAATCTTTCATTTCAAATCAAAGGATCATGACGTCCTTTTCTTTAGAATGGAGGACATAATTGCTCCTGAATCCCTTGCCATTTCATCATTAAAAACAGGCGTTAATCAATAACCAATACGTCAATAATAATTGCTCCAACAAATGGAAGGAAAAGTCTTCTTAGAAGAAAGGTTGTCCTTTCATGTTTCATTTTGCTAATAATACATGATTGTTCTTTATCTTAAAGTATGAAGAAAAACACTAAAACTTTGAACACTGCCGGGGACTGGGGCACATATTACGTAATTATGTAACCCGTGACAACGGAAGCACATGCTTATTATTGGGAGCCTGCTCACCCTTTTAAGTTGTTAATTCAAATCTATTGAACTGAGGGTTACATTGACCCTGATTGTTGGAAGACCTTGTGAATCTTGCGATTATTAAACACGTTAAACATCAAATTTGTGACTTGTCTTGGATACTGTCTCCAGCGGCCGGAGGAGTCCAGCAAAACACAACAAATGAGGGTTTAAAACATGAACTTGGTGGCCTGCATGGTTTAAAATGATTACTTAAAGTTCACTCAACCATCACTTAATACTATCATTCAGCGACATTGTCAAAAATGCAAAATGCAAAAATTAAACATGTGCAAAGATTAACTAGATTAGTTTTAAAGTGGAAAAAAACATGGTGCAGATTTTAATGCGCTACAAAGTGGACACTAGGACAGGTGATATGCAACATTCAAGCTCACCTAAATCCAGGATGGCATCAAGTTATCAATTGAGATGCATGGGCTGCATCTTGGAAACAATTTTAACCAGGAAGTTTGCTGAATATTTATCATTGCAAATCTTCTTAATTCACCCTATCTCTAGGTAGGGTATGATGGAGAATTCTAGTCACCAATTTGGCAACTAACTTTCAGGATTTGGTCGTCAAAGTGAAAAATTAAGTGGCATGGGCACCTGTATTAGGCACAATTTCACGCCCTCCCATCCTCACAGTGTTAGCCTAAGTTGTTCAAGTTTGCAATTTCGAAGCCAAGTTTATCTCTGCCATACATACATACAGACATACATACATACATACATACATACAGACAGACAGACAGACAGACAGACATACATACATACATACATACATACATACATACAAACAAACAAACAAACAAACAAACAAACATACATACATACATACATACATACATACCAGGTTAATTGACCACTCCCCATAGGAGCTTTTCAGGGCCAATACTCACCCAGGGAAGGACATCCACCACACAGCCATCCTCACTACATTTGTTTCCTCTATGTCTACTTTTAACCATTTGGGTGTGATAATCTCACCAAAGATGCGTTAATTTTAGATCCTGCCAATCAGCATCAGGATTACATGTAAACGAGTACTTATCACAAGGTAAGGGCTCAAGCAATGTTTAAGAAGAATTGGTGACTAACCTTATGACCCCTGTGAGTGATTAGTATCTAATTTCTCCTAACAATATCACCCCTGAGTCACACATTAAAGGAGAAAATCACCAACTAAACTAATTCTCCTTATCCACAACTTAGGAAATGTATAGAGAACAGTAGAGAGAATATGCATGCTGATGTTAGGTTGTAAAAGGTTAAAATGAGTTCACTGCTGTTCACAACCATTTGAAAACCTTTCAAATATCACTAGCCACAAAAACTCATGAAAAACGCAAGAAGTTCAAAGGATGTTCTATTTACAACAATCTGAACAAAATTACTTACCAACACTTCTTTGCATGTCTACCATGTAAATTACTATTGCACTTTTAACAAATTGGAAAATGCCCATTAATCCCCTTTTTTCAATTTGAATTGGTCCTTCCATAGAATAATTGTGAGAAACAAATGCAGTTTCATGTTTTCAGAACTATAATTTGGAATGAAGCAAAGTGTATTACTGAAAAAGTTTAAATCTCAAGTGAGTGGAACATAAATCACAAAAGTACTCTCTACACCTTATAAATGAATTGGTCATTGTCCAATCAGTTGTTTTGTCAACCTTGCAGGTCATATTGACTCACAAAAAATGCAAACTAAGCATATAACTTTTCCCTTTCACTTTTTGCATCGTCTTTGAATACATAATCAAACTTCATTTAATTATCACATGTACATGTGTTAATTAGTTGAGACGACTGGGTAGTGTTTAATTCATTTGTGCATAATGATGATGAAATCGTGCTGCTCACAATGGGCTCTGTACTTAATCCCCTTTAAGGTCATCAGTGGCTTTCTAGGTATGATTAAACAACTACAAAAATAAACTTTTAGAGTGCCAAAGGGCATAGTGTTGGAGATAAAGACGATCAAATATAAATTCAAATTTCGCTAGGGGACGAACCCGCAATAAATTAGCATACGGAGAATGTGTGTTGGTAGTTATGAATAAACAATTAACCGACAAGTATTTTCGCGTGCGAGTACAATGATTTTAAGACTTTTTGTACCGTTAACACTTCCTGTTAACTCCTACCTTAGAGTACAGAATCATCCACGCAATACTGTTAATGAAATACGATCAACTGTCCGCAATGAAATTACCACATAAATGTCTTTTCAAGACATGGGTGTTTCGCCGAAGAAAGAAAAGCAAGAGTGAAATTTACAAGACTAACATATTCTAAACTAAGCAACAAATTTGTAACATGCAGGCCAAACAATTATCACGACACACCGAAGTTAAAGAATTCACCACAAAAATCCTTTTATTTCTGTTTCTCACCGATGCCTTGTCCAGGACTTTGATAGATGAAGCCTCGGCGATCTTATTTGCCGTGAGTGCTTGCTCTAGCGTCCATAATGGCAGTCTCTCCCAATTTCCAAACACAACAATATCGATGTCGCTGTGAATTTCAAATGGCTCGATGAGCGAAAACAAATTATGGAAACATACTGTGACACAAACACAATTTGAGCACGTTCACGTTCAAAATAGACCTCGAACGATGCTCTTACGGTTTCAGGTTGCATCTTTACACCCTTTCAGTTGTTCTCTGTACCACAAAACGATTAAAATTAAGTGAAAACTACAAGGTCTCCTTTTTATTCAAATAATCTCCGTTCATAAGATACAAAATATCCATTGTCTCATCTTGTAATGCCTACTGTAAGGGAAGAAACAGTCCTTGGGAATTTAATGAGGTACGGAACTTAAACAGCACAAAGATAATCAAACACCGTCTTCGCCGATGAACCACAACAGTCCTCTCACCTGGTTGGTAAATAAAGCCCCGTCCGAAAACTTCCATACACTTCCACCTGAAATGAATGACCAGAAATTGAAAACCTTTGCTTTTCATTACTTGTAAGAGTTTTTAAAGTATTTTCTTTAAGACTATTGTGAGAATTTAAGGTAATAATAAGTGAATGTTGCTCTAACGTACTTCAGCAGTGGGCCATAGCCGTCTGATGACTTCTTGAACCCTTGCTATCACTTCTTGTCGCATTGTATGTTCGGCCGTTCGGGGTTTCATAAAATTGTAGAAGTCCAAGATTTCCTCATGAAGCCTTAACAAACGAAAAAAGAGACGTTTATCTTAAAAATCTGAAGGTCGTCGCGCTTTAATTCGACGAGAGTAAAACCTCGCAAAACTTACCCCACCAGCCCGTCTGGATAATTTTTATCCTTGGACCGCCAAGGGGTTTGATTCTCGACTCTTTTCTTCTTACTAACATGATTCTTGTCGGAATTTATGAGATTGTTCAATTTTGTGCTTTCCACTTCTTCATTAAAAGTATTCTTCCGATTCAAAGGGATGTATTCTTTGCTACGGTGATTGTCGACCATCGTTGGTGAAGTGACATCTTCCAAAACGGCTTTCCATGTCTCGTAAGCTGGACCCTTTTGCTCCGGTTGAATCCAGCCAGTCCTGGGATCCATCATCAACGGGCAAAACATTGAGTTTCTGAAAAACACCGGCTTCTATTGTAATACAGTTACTCTTTCAGATGCGCTCTGTCTTGTTCGCTTCCTTCCTCCCACAGTAGTCAAGGCAAGTAAGGATTTATAATTATGCGCATGTCATTATTTTCCGCCAATCATTACTTTTACGAATGCACAAGGGAAAAGCCCTGGGAACTAGGCTGCTTGCGAATAGGAAATTTAATTCGTGTGTTGAAAGTGTCCTAGCTGAAAAAAAAAGTGTATGTTTTTAACTTAACACACAAAACTCACGTGACAAGTATCCTTCCAACCGATAAAGTATAAAAATAATTTTATCTTTGCATAATTAAATTTTCCAGGAAATATAATAATCCATCCATACCCACTTCATGACATCATGTTATATTCCCATCCCACCGTTACAAATTTTTTCTAATAACATAAACATGAAGCTTTCTTCATCAAATAAGGAAAGATTCTTATCCGCTTTCTTTACTTACCACGTATCTCAATTGATTCAGTCTTCCTTCGGCTGAAGAACTAATACAATTTATATTCATAATCGCAAAAAGCAGGAGCCCAAGTAAAAGTTATTTTATTTCACGAATTTTTTTGTTGCAAAACCAGATCTTTCATTTCTATTCTCTCTTTTTTCTCCGGGTTTCGAGCGGAAAATGTGATATTATTGGAATATTTCCGAACAATAGAGACGCGTTTTAGAACAAAGCGAAAGCAAGAACGACATAGTGTGAAATAATCAGCTAAATAAATATGAAATATGATTAATAAAAGCATCGCGGATGACAATAATTACGAGATTAAAAACGTTCTATTTTTTTAACATTTCATTAAATAGAAAGTTTTCATTAGATCACATTATTATGTTGATAGGAAGTAAAGTTGCTTCCAAGAATAGATAAAAATAGTTGTAAGAGAGGACCTTCTAGAGGACTGCCTAAATAAGGCGAATCTGAATGTCTACAAATTTATTTCGATTTCCTGAGAGTAGGTGAAACGGAAAGCGTTCTAGTTTCATCCTGTATTTGTCACAGTTTTTATTTTTAAGTCGTATCTTCCTTGTTCCGCGAAACGGTTTGAAGTAATGTAATACGTGATTGTGACAAATTATGACATGCTGCACGTTCCACGGAAATTTATTCTATTCCGGGCGAGACTACATTTTGAGTACCTCCTAAAAGTTGACACTTTGGCGCTTAAAATACTAGGAATATTATTCCAGTTATCATTTTTTTAAATTCATTTATATTTTTTCGGATTAAGAGGAAAGACTTACGGTGATGTAAACCAGGAAAATAAATTTCATATCAAGTACACTCCTTTTTTTTACAAGAACCTTTTTCATAAGTGAGCTCAGGCTGAGATAAACCAAAATTTTAAGAACATACTAAGAACACACCCAGGCTGAGAGTCAGTTAAGACCGTCTTTGATTTGCTCATTTTTTGCGAGAAGTACGAATAAAGGTAAAAGAAATGTGCAACTGTGGTCTAACAGGACAATTAAATCAAATACTTGAGGCATTTTTTTCATTAACGGTTATCTCATTACACAGTACACTGATGAACACTGAGTTTGAAGTCGAACCTAATCGATTTATTGAAATACCATACCACAGAACTTTAAGAACAAGTGAAGAACGTTTCCAGGCTCACTCAAATCGCTAAACAAAGAGGAATTATCAACCTCAGCCACAAATATTCACGGGACGTTCTTATAAAAAGAAACATACTGGAATTCACTCTGAAGGCATCACCAAATGTTTCATGGTAGAAATGGACAGAACGTCTTGGGACATGGACTTTCCAAATAACGGTTGTAACTGAGAGAATGCTGATTGGTGTTAATTTCTTGTTGGAGGTTCAGAGAAAGGGATGTTAATATAAGAAAAAGATAGGAATAGATTCCATGTGAGATTTCTCTCTCTTATCCTCACCCAGGTCGTGATGTATTTTTTATCAACAACGTCTGATGATATCTCAGTTCGAGTAGATTCATTATCTACTTTGACCCGCTGTCCAAATATTTGAGTTTTTCCCCACTCCTTTAGTAGTATTTTAAGAGTCAACAAAGACGTATATTGTTATGACAGGTCAGAATCGCCATTTTTTGTTGTTACCACTGTTAACTTTTTACCATAGGAGCTGCTAACAATCAAGCAATATAAGGCCACACACCACGCAATGAAGGGCTCGATCAGAAATCATTTTGTCGTACTGAGGTCAAAGTTGAACTTCATGGCACGTAAGCAAAATAAACTATGCCGGAGACAGCCTACCTAAAGTGGCGCGATAAGAGTACTTTACGTCACGAATATGTATTTGTTGCCTTATATGGTTAAGAATGTGCCCACGAGTTTTGTTTAAAATGTTTGTAAATACCATCATTTAAGAAAAAAGAGGAAGGAATACTTTTCGGTTTCAGAGGTTATTTGAAAATCTGTAGAAAACTATCGCAAAGTAGAGATGGGTACGAGGGAAAGAACTATGTCTCCCATAAAATCATATTATAATTAAGACTTTATTTTGAAAATTATCTGGCTTATATTAAGTGGTGAAGTTCGTTTACAGACCAGCTGCAACATACAGGTGGCCTCAAGAACGACAGTGCAAAAATAAATAAACAGTTTTCTGGCTTTGAAATGAAAACATCGGGATCTTGCTCGCTTTGTTCAGAACCAAGAATAGGAAACGGTAATGTCCAACGGGAGACTTTCGCGTCGAGATTGTCTTTTTTTGCTAATATTATTCATCAATCCAACAGCTGAAAGGATCTCGCTCACGACAAGTTCCTGTCACGCGATGTCACGCAAGTTTTCACATCACAAGAGTTTTTATGCCATACCACAGGTAAACCAGGCTCTGTCACAGGCTCTTTCACAGTGGATTATTATAGAGTTTGTACAGTCGTTTAGTCGGACTTGCTTTTGAGGCCGTTTTGCTGTGTTTTAGCTTAACGTCCTACGACAAGAACAGCACAGACTACTCTGTATGAAGGTAAGACTATTTCTTTGATTATTTCACACAACTTTATATTTACGGAGCTCAAAAGCAAGTCCAACTAAACCACTACACAAACTGTATAATAATCCACTGTGAAAGAGCCTGTGACAGAGCCTGGGCCACCTGTGGTCACACGAGATGTTTTACTGCACCATCTGTAATCACAGGGCGCCCAGACAAGCGACGAGTCTGGTTGTTTATTCGAAATATAAAGGAATGTATGCGAGACTATTGAAGAGTCTTATTATCGTAAACTTATATCATGAAATGTCTGAGTTAAAGCTCAAAATAAATGTAAACCTATCTCACTTGCTGTGTATTGTCGTTTCTGTGGCTCTAAATGGCGAATTTGAGCGATTTGGTGAGTTTTGCGTCGACTGTTACTCTCTTTCTTATGACGTATAGTAACAGTCGACGCAAAACCCACCAAATCGATCAAATTCGCCATTTAGAGCCACGGAAACAATACACAGCAAGTGAGGTAGGTTTAC